ATTCATGCCCGAACCAGTTTTTACTTTCCTACAGGTTCTTAGCATATCCTCTGATCTTTTTAAAGAGACTTAGAAATATCCTAGCCCTTTCAGCAACACATTTATAAATTATCTTTCAGCTTAGGACACTTCGGCAGATAATTTCATTATTTACTAATTCTTACTAATTTATTCCGAGGATAACCCTTTCCTAATCATAGTTCACTCTCCTAGGTATATAATCCTGTGGCCCAGGAGTGTATAATGATAATAGTCTACATTTTGAAGACCCAAGTCTACATCTTCCTTTCATCAGCCCTCAAAGATAAGTTCCTTGAGTGGAAGCTTCCTGCACTGTTATGGACTGAAGGTTTATGTCCCCCCTTCAAATTCATATGTTGAAGCCCTAACCTCCAATGTGACGGTAATTGGAGATAGGGCCTTTAAGGAAATAATTAAGGTTAAATGAAGTTATAGCCTAGGGCTCTGATCTGATAGGATTAGTATCCTTGTGAGACAAGAGAGAGTTTACCGGCTTTTTATCCACCTCTTGGGACACAGCAGGAAGGTGGCCATCTGCAAGCCAGGAAGAGAGTCCTTACCAGAAACTGACCATGATGACACCTTGATCCTGGATTTCCAGCCTCCAGGCCTGTGAGAAAATAAATCTTTTGTTTTAGCTCCCTAGTCTATGGAGTTTGATTATGGCAGCCTGAGCAGACAAATACACATTCTAATCCCAAGAACGGATCACACAGTATACTGAAAAAGAAGAGCAGCCAAGGAGTCAAAGCAATGAGAAGACTGCATTCTACTCTGAGCCTGGCCACTCTGACTCAAGGGTATGACAACCCTTTGAAGCCTTCTTTTTCTCCTCTAGGAAATGAGAGACTTAAGTAGAACTTTGGGCCCCTTAGAACTTCCTAATTAAAAGGGTTAGATTACATATTGTGGGCTATGACTCAGGCAATTGCACTGCCAGGATTATATCCTTAAGAAGTAATTATGGATAGTCACAAAGATTTAGTTATGAGCATATTCATGCCAGAATTGCAATCAAAAGCAAAAAAAAAACAAAAACAAACAATAAACCCTGTAATTCTAACCAACAATAAAAGTATGTTAAATTACAGTAGAGCCAGACAATAGAATAAGTGAATATTGTGTGAACCTATAGAAACTGCTTTTGTTAATAAACATCAAGGATAGGGGCTCCTGGGTGGCTCAGTCAGTTAAGAATCTGACTCTTGATCTCAGCTCAGGTCTTTTTTTTTTTTTTTTAATTAACATACAACGTATGGTTTCAGGGGTACAGGTCTGTGATTCATCAGTCTTACACAATTCACAGCACTCACCATAGTACATACCCTCCCCAATGTCCATCACAGCCACTCCATCCCCCCCACCCCTCTCCCCTCCAGCAACCCTCAGTTTGTTTCCTGAGATTAAGAGTCTCTTATGGTTTGTCTCCCTCTCTGGTTTCATCTTGTTTCATTTTTCCCTCCCTTCCCCTATGATCCTGTCTTATTTTCTAAAATTCCTTATACTGAGAGAGATCATATGATAATTGTCTTTCTCTGATTGACTTATTTCACTTAGCATAATACCCTCTAGTTCCATCCACGTCATTGCAAGTGGCAAGATTTCGGTTTTATTGATGGCTGCATAATGTTCCATTGTATATATATACACCACATCTTCTTTATCCATTCATCTGTTGATGGACATCTTGGCCCTTTCCATAGTTTGGCTATTGTGGACATTTCAGCTCAGGTCTTGACCTCAGGGTTGTGAGTTCAAGCCCTGAATTGGGCTCCATACTGGCCATGGAGCCTACTTAAAAAAAAAAAAAAAAAATCAAGGATATAGTATTGAGAAAACTTGTTTTTTAAAATCATAGATTGGCAAAAATTTTGTTAGAAATCCCCTCAGTGGGGCGCCTGGGTGGCTCAGTTGGTTAAGTGTCTGCCTTCAGCTCAGGTCATCATCCCAGGGTCCTGGGATCAAGCCCCATGTGGGGCTCCCTGTTCAGCAGGGAGCCTGCTTCTCTCACTCCCTCTGCCCCTCCCCCCACTTGTGTTCTCTCTCTCTCAAATAAATAAAGTCTTAAAAAAGAAAACAAAAGAAATCCCCTCAGTAAGCATGGAACTTCCCACTCTTAGAGTCTGAGCCATGCAGGTCACTTTTTAAAAATGTCTTTGAACTGCTTTATGGAGGTGTAGCAACTTAAACTATAATATTTAAAGTATACAACTTGGTAAGTTTTCAGATACATCTATACCCATAAAACCATCACGGCAATGAAGATAATGAACTTATTTATGAGTCCCTGAAATTTCCTGGTACCCCTTTGTAATCCCTCCCTCCCACTTCTTGCTCCCACCCCCTTCCCCCAAGTAACTCTTGATTTGCTGTCACTATAGTTTGCATTTTCCAGTTTATATAAATGTAATCATACTGTATGTACTTTTTTTTTTTTGGCCTGGCTTCTTTCACTCAGCATAATTATGTTGAGATTCATCTATGTTGTTGCATGTATTTATAATTCATTCCTTTTTCTTTCTTTTTTTTTTTAAAGATTTTATTTATTTATTTGTGAGAGACAGAAGGAGAGAGAGAGGGAGGGAGAGAGAGAGAGAGAGAGAAGCAGAGGGAGAAGCAGGCTCCCAAGGAGCAGGGAGCCCGATGCGGGACTCGATCCCAGGACCCTGGGATCGTGACCTGAGCCGAAGGCAGACGCTTAACCATCTGAGCCACCCAGGCACCCCATTCCTTTTTCTTTCTGAGTGGTATTCCACTGTATGAGTCACTCTGATACTTAGAAAAAGCAGTCTTTAGTTCCAACCCACATGTTTCAGGTAAGAGGTTTCAGAAACATTTCACATTCATCTTAATTTTGCCACTTCTCAGGAATTAGGATTCTGAATCTACTTGGGCCAGGACTGGTTACTCCTTTACAAACAGCCTGCTTTGCTTAGAGTCTTTCAAAGCATTGCTTCATTTAAGCTTTACCTAAACTTCATTCTGCTGTAAGTTAATAAACCCAAATTTGTGGCACCACAGGTGTGTTCCTGGTGTTCAGATGGACTTTCTCAATGAACATGAATGTTCATGACCACATTAAGTGCAAAACAGTAAATAGCATATGACCTTATTTCTCTTTTTAAAATATAAATACTTGCATGACTATACAGTTATATATGAAAAATGGTATTTGTATTACTAAATATATTTTTTATCTATTTTTAAGGTTTTTTAAAAAGGCATTTTTAGGGACAGTCACAAAAAAGTGAAATTATTTTACATAATCAACACTTGCTAGGCTGCCAAAGGAACAGGCACATCCTGCTATTACCGTATAATAGCTTAATTCATAAATCCACAGGTGTTAACCTAGAATGGGCATTTGAACTTCTTAAGAAAGTCATCATCTTTCCCATCTCTGGAAACAAAATGTTAAAATGTGGAATTATAAATCTAGTTTCATAAATATAAATGGAATTTGGAAACTTTTAGGGTTAAAGCAGATCCCAATGCCATCATCTAAGTTTTTGGCCTGTAACTTACATTGTCTTTAATTATAAGTCTATATAAAGCTTAGCAAGAGTAGTCTCATTTTTACTATTTATTTACAAAACTCCCTTCCACCCATTAATCACAAAGTAGGTCAAAATACTCCTTAATAGATATTTCGCATTAGGTGCTTATTGATCTTACCCCCTTTTCTATTCTTTGAGAAAGTCTGTACAATTGACCCTTGAAAAACAGACGTTTGAACTGCCTAGGTCCACTTACAGGTGAATTTCTTTCAATAGACACAGTACAATACTGTAAATGTATTTTCCTTAAGAATTTCTTAATATTTTTTCTCTGGTTTATTATAAGAATATAGTACATAATACATATAACATACAAAAATATGTTAGGTGACTGTTCGTGTTCTTGGTAAGGCTTCCAGGCAACCGTAGGCTATTAAAATTTTGGGGAAGTCAAAAGTTATATTCCACTGTCCAGGAGTCAGTGCCTCTAACCCCTGAGTTGTTCAAGGGTCAACAATATTTAATCCACTAAGACACTTGCTTACATGCTATTATTTAATGATTAAACAGCTTCCTTATAGCAAAGTGGAAAGAAACTGCAAGGCACCCCGCAAACCATCATTTTTGTAATTAAAATATGAAAGGGCAATTCATTTCTTCCTAACTCTACCCAGAGATGGTCAACACAGATTCTAAAAATAGACTTTTTTCAAACTCCTTTTGTGTTCTTGTATGAAAGCTTAAAATAAAACACAAGGAGGAAGCTACCTCTACGCGTATACACAGTCCAACGTGCTTCTCTTATTTCTCATTAAAGCTACAAATTAGTAGGAAAATAGTGCCGCCCACGGGCTTTTCAAGTTTTGAATTCTGGGGAACACCCAGAGCAGGAGTGAATGAGCGAAATTGATGCGAACCGCCCAAGCCAGGCCAGCGAAAGATAGGCACGCGGTATGTTAGTTGGCCCTGACGAGAAAGAGCCAGTTTGTGAATGAAACCTAGAGCTTGGAGGAGGAACGTCTGGCTTCATACTCAGTAAGCCCACTCTGGAAGAATCTAGCCCTGTGACCCAGGGAGAAAATGCTGATTCCACCCCAACACCACTCCCAGAAAAAGAATGGAGAAAACCTACACCTACTAGGGCGACTTTGACCTACACCCCCCCTGACCCGCTGTTACGCTCTTCACCCTCTCCCCCCACCCCCGACTTCCTCGAAAGCCCCTCCCCTGGACTCATTCAAAGCGCCACGTCTCCTAGCGCCAGGGGACCAGCTACCCGGCGGAGGCTTCCTGCAGCTAACCCCTCCCAGACGCCCGCCCAAGGTCTGCGATCCAAAGGCTCCGAGCCTCCACTAGGGCCAGAACCGGTCACCGCCAAACGCAGGAGCCGCGCCCTCGACCCAACGGCTCCCGCCCCGCCCCGCCCGTGCCCACGTGACACCCACGTCCCGCCCATGGCGCCCACGTGACCCGCGGCCATCCCCGCGCGCGGCGTGGATCGCGGCCCGAGCCGCCATTGTTCCGCCAAGGGACGACGGCGGGGCCTGGCACTGGCGCCGAGACGCCGCTTAGCGGCCGCCACTGGAGACACTTCCTCCCGCCGCCCCCCTCCTTCTGGCGGCGGTGGAGTGAGGCTGGCTAGGGGGAACTGGGAGCCCCCTCTCCTGGCGGCGGCAGCTGCCGATCCCCGGCTCCGGCGCGAGGGGCGGCCGCGATGCGCTCCGCCTGAGGCAGTCCGGCCCGGCCCTTCTTCGCTTCCCTTGACTCCTGTACAGCGTCTGGGCGCCCCAGCGTCATCCTGCGAGTCTCGCTGACGGAGGGAAGATGGCTGCACAGAGCTGGCAGGACGAGCTGGCCCGGCAGGCCGAGGAGGGCTCGGCTCGGCTGCGGGAAATGCTTTCGGTTGGCCTAGGCTTTCTGCGCACCGAGCTGGGCCTCGACCTGGGGCTGGAGCCGAAGCGGTACCCGGGCTGGGTAATCCTGGTGGGCACCGGCGCGCTGGGGCTGCTGCTGCTTCTCCTGCTCTGCTACGGCTGGGCCGCGGCTTGCGCCGGCGCCCGAAAAAAGCGGAGGAGCCCGCCCCGCAAGCGGGAGGAGGCGGCGGCAGTGCTGGCCCCGGCCCCTGACGATCTAGCCCTATTGAAGAATCTTAGGAGCGAGGAACAGAAGAAGAAAAACCGGAAGAAGTTGCCCGAGAAGCCCAAAGTGAGTAGGGGTGGAGCGGCGGTAGAATAGGGGCCAGGGGCCGGCGTGGAAACCCTCGAGAGAGCGGGAGGCCGAGCCCCAGCCGCCCGAGCCGGGAGTGGAAAAGGAAAAGTGAGGTTAGTCAAGAGCTGGGACTCCGATCTCTTCAGGTGGAGGAGGTGATCGGTGGACACGTTACTGGGGAATCGTGGAAACTCGGGAAGTGTAAGACGGGTGGGAAAGACTAGTTTCAAGGAAGGAAGTTAGACGGCACGGGGTACGTTTAACTCAAAGCGTCCAGAGGTCAAGCCGTTTTCGGGAACCTTGACCGCCGGAATTACGTACCAACCCTTCTTGAGGCCTACCGGGTAGGCTGCATGTGTGCAGAGTAATGGGACCTTAAGGTGGTGTTGGGAAGTTGTGGAAAGACAGTGACTGGAAGACAGATGTCTACTTCAAGTCACATTGAGACGGTAGTCAGTGGAGGAAATACGATGACCTAAAAAACCTGGGGCTTACGGAGGATTAAAGGTACCCAGGTCTAGACGCGCTTCCATTTTAGTTAGACTGTTTAAGGGAAATGGTTGCCCACGCTTATTCTTGTGAATGTGGCCAATAGAGGCCTGAACAGGAGCAAGGCAAGAGGGAGTCGGTTGCCTAATTTACTCTGGGGTACATGGCCCCATGAGAGACACCTAAGGCAAGTTGAGCGGTGTGCGAGGTTTTGAAATAGAGTAAAAGGGGATGACAGAGCAGAATGGTGCAGTCCGAAAGAGAGATTTAGGCACCGATTTACCTACCGGACCACGTGTGGAAATGCAGAGAGCATCACATCCATTTTATCATGCCTTTCTGTTTTATTTGTATTTTCTTTATTGCCGTTTTCCCGTTGTATCTTTTATAGTTTTGTCTTTTAAAATACTTTACAGTTGAGCAGAGTTTGGAGGGTGTGGAGAATTAGAAACCGTTCTTCGCGCATTGTTATATACACTGAATTAAGCTCTTTACGTTTCAGTACAATAAAGTAAATGTAACCAAGGCCATACTTGGTGATATGCACTCTGGTCTGTGTTGGGCAATGGGAGGTATACACATAGGAGTTAGAGTCAATCCTGGAGACGAGTGTAGGAGACAGATTCATAAATAATGCCTGTAGTGCATAGACAGGTGCTATAGGAGCACAAGTGGTGTTAATAAGGTCTGGAAGGTGGGAGACTAATTCCGTTGAAGGAATTTAGGAAAGTTATTGGAAGAAGTGGGATTTGAGCTCAACCTAAAGCAATGAGTGTTGTTGATACCAGTACAAAGAATAAGTCAGTATTAGAGAAGTGACAGGTCACAGTTAGTGCATTATTAGGCCTAGATAAGTGATCACATTTTGTCTGCTGATTAAGGGGATGTAAGATACATACAAAATCTAGAAAAGGTACAACTTTGTCAGTATGAATTCTACCTTAAGTTAGAAGAGGAAATAGAACTGATTTGGAACATATATAATTAAATTTGTCGAGCACATCAAAGGTTACCAGAAAGTAATGTTATGGTGGACATAGAGAACTTGGCTCCAAAATAAGCAAAGAAGGTGATCTTGCAAAAATCACATACATTAGCCTAAACCCTATGTGGATGAAGCAGGTTGTGAACATTTCAAAGCGCTGTTTGGGATGTCTAGAATTTCAGATAGACTTGAGTCCAGAGATGGGTGCTCCAGGAGCCCATCCGAAGTGCATCAAAACACTCAGATAACCTCTGTCGGAAGAAGGAACAGACTTCTGTGAAACTTGTACTGTGAAAAATACCCATCAGACTTCGGACTTACTGCTTCTCTTTTTCATTTTAGTTAAGGAATGGGGCAGTGACTAAATAAATCTAATATTAAGCTTTGGGGAGTGGAGAATGGGACGACTAATCAAATGGTCGAATGTTAATTGGGTGAGAAAATATCTTTGCCTACTTCATGGTATAGAAGTGTTGGAAGAGTTTGTCAACATTAAAATTCTAGCTTTCAAACTTTTTAGATTGCAACTTACAGTAAGAAACACATTTTACACTACAGTACCTGCCCGTACTCTCCCCCCACCCACATATCAAACCATTCTGTTTTTCTTTAATGATATTTGTGACCCATCAGATTGGCTTCACATTTCACTGTGAGGCATGACCCACACAGAAAAATACTGCTTTATGGGACTGAAAAGTAAAAGCACCCATTTGTGTAGTACTCAAATGCTTTGCACTGTGCTAAGTATTTACTTGGAGAAAAGCAGCATACTGCTTGCAAATTGAAGGCAGTAAAAAGGAATACAGTATTCATATGTCTCATTGTGAAGGGGATGCAAAAGTAAAGCTCAGTTGCTCCCCAGGGAGCTTTTTATTCCAGTTGTGGGAAAAGATACACACACACAAAAAAATTAACATCGCACACCCAGTGTGGGCCCAGGAGGCTGTGAACGGCCTTATCACACAATCTGGCTTTGAATGTGGGTAGGAGCAAGGTAGTGGAAGAGACTGAAGCAACAGAAAAGGCCCAGTAGAGGAAGACTTAACTGTCAGCCTGTCAGGAATGGGGACTAAACTTAAGTAAGACATTTAACCTTGTTCTGTTTAGCTTGTCTTGTTTATAAATTGAGGATCTTAATTGAGTTAAAATACTGCAGGATTTCTCAAAATGTTATCTCTGTCTACTTGTGATAGAGTTACTTTGAATGCTTACTAAAATTTATAGATTCCTGAGCACCAGAACAGATCTTACAAATTCAGAATCTCTGGAACTGAGTCCAGGGAATCTGCATTTTTAACGAGATCCCTTGGTAAATCCTTGCTATTAGATTAAAAATGACTCATTGGTCTAAGACCATAAGATCCATAGAATAGGAGAGGTTTCTAAGTGGAGTCATGTTTAATCTTACAATCCATCTCTTCATTACTACATCATTCTGATATACATTTTAGGATATACCTTACTCTGATCAACTAAACTACTATGGGTTTGTAAAAGGATATTACAGGTTTACTTAAATATTTTATTCTCATCTTTTTATCCCATTATTTTTAGTTCGCTCTTAAGTCATTCCAAATTTTGCAACTCAAGTTTTTAAAATTTGTTTCTAGTAGCTTATTTTTATCTGTAGAGTAGGTGGTATTTAGCTCTTTAATATCTACCCATAAGCACTTTTTGAAATTTTTATATCATTTTGATTTTTATCCCCTAATAATATCCTGGCATAGGTCTTTTAGGATATGAATTGCGGTTTATTTCCCTATTAAAAGTGGAGGGGGTGGCACTTTTTGCTGGGTTTATTTCTTGGCATTTTTGGAAATCATTGTTAGGTATTTTCCGTGACACCTAGTACAATGTGAGTATTAAGCACTCAGTAAAGTTTTTTTTTTTTTAAAGATTTTATTTATTTATTTGACACAGAGAGACACAGCGAGAGAGGGAACACAAGCAGGGGGAGTGGGAAAGGGAGAAGCAGGCTTCCTGCTGAGCAGGGAGCCCCGATGTGGGGCTCGATCCCAGGACCCTGCGATCATGACCTGAGCCGAAGGCAGATGCTTAACGACTGAGCCACCCAGGCACCCCAGTTAAGCACTCAGTAAATATTTTTAACTTGACTTAATCTGAGCAGTGATTTAGATGGATGTGAGATCTCAGATAACTGGTCTTTAACAAAAAATCATTGCTTTGACTCTCAACTGGAAGCCCATAACCCAGGATCAACTTCAACAAAAATTCATTTTAGTGAAAAAGCTGTTTTTATATTAGTGGAGGACTTCTCATAAAGATTTGCCATAGTGCAGCAGTCGGTATCAATAAGTTCACTGAATAGAGTAGTGTTTTGTTTGCTGCTGTATAACCTTGCCTAGTGCTTGGCACTCAATAAATAATTACCGAATGCATAAAGTAGTAAGATGTCCTACCAAAGTATACAACTCATTCCCATTCTTCGTGCCTGGTAAACAGCCATATGAGCCACCTTTTTATTTTTACAGTGGGTGATGGCTGTGTTTGCCTCTTCTGACTAAAATTTTGTGAGGTCCATCGTTCTACAGCCAATAAATCGTTCTAATAGTATGCAGTATCTTTTGTAATTATTACTTCTGTTCCAGTTTCATTGCCATTGCCCTACTTTTGAACTTTATTACCTTCTGCTTCAACTATACTAACAGCATCAGCATCCTAACTGGTTTTCCTGCTTTCTGTCTCTTTGTTGCCATTCCTTTCTACCCAGTCCTGGTAGTTAAACCTTTAAAAGCCCAGCTCTGATCGTGACTTTCATGTTCACATCTTGTCAGTAGTTTCCCCATCACATGTTGAGTAAAATCCAGTCTATGACATGGCCATGATGTAACCCCATCTTAGATTTATCTCTTAGCCATTATCCCAAATGCATTACCATTAGCTAGACTGTAGTATCTCTTTATTCATATTATTTTGTTCCATTGGAAAGCCTGTCTTTCTGTATCTGTACAGTTTCTACCTATGCTTCAAGGAAGGCCCAGCCATGGTGCTCTCTATACTATAAAGCCTTCCCTAGCTCCCCAGGTAGAGGTAGTCTCTTTTTCATATGTTTATTTTATATTTTATTATGATCTAAAGAAGACAGAGCATTGCCTAGGATTGTACCTGTGGGGCAATTCAGATTTTTTCCCAGCTCTGTGCACGTCCATGTGTGATCAGGAAAGCACCTCAAGTGCTGATTTTGGGATTAGAAATTAATTTTAGTGAGTAGGTGAACTTGCCAATGTGGAATCCCTGAATAATGGAGATCAACTTTATTTTTTTTTTAAGATTTTATTTATTTATTTGAGAGAGAGAGAATGAGAGAGAGAGAAAGCACATGAGGGGGGGGAGGGTCAGAGGGAGAAGCAGACTCCCTGCTGAGCAGGGAGCCCGATGCGGGACTCGATCCAGGGACTCCAGGATCATGACCTGAGCCGAAGGCAGTCGCTTAACCAACTGAGCCACCCTGGAGATCAACTTTATACTAGTCTGTATCTGTAATTGGACCATTCCTCTC